TTTAAGTAACCTCTACACCCAACATGGGGCTCGAACCCACGACCCCAAGATAAAGAGCCACATGGTCTTCCGACGGAGCCAGCCAGGCGCCCCCATAATTTTGTTTTAATAAGAACCCTCTTCTTTGCCGCTGCTTTTATTCCCCTCCCTTCTCCCATAATGTGGAACATGCATGAAGTGAAATTCTAGTGCAGCTATTTTGTCATTTCAAATAATGTGCACAAACCTGTATTTCTTAGTCCTTGTTGGCCTGAATTAAATAATGTTTGGCAGAGTGTTTTCGTAAGTGAAAGAAGGATGAACGTAGAAAGCACGGGGGTGTGAGTGGTCTACGGCCGTATGATGAGGACCCCCAGAGGAGGGGAAACTGAGGCCATTATAGGCGGATGACTGACGATTCGCTTCTTCAGTCTTAAGCGGTTTTGGGTAACAGACATTTTGCAGAGCAGAGGGAAGGGACGGTGCCTCCGTTTCTTAGATTTTCCTGTTGCACATTAAGACCCCAGAACACAGCTCTTTGTCCCCTGTTTCTGGCTGCTTGTTTTTAGCCACAGCCGTGAGTGAATCAGAAGAGGCGAATGGGAAGGGGTATGTGACGAGGGATCCCATATGAATGAATGTTCCTTGTCTTTATTGATTTTGAGGAAGGAAACAGGCTGAGAGCATGGTAGTGGACATGCGTTGGGGTAACCGCTCTGGGTGTGTTCCCAGGGTCCTAGTCTGTGTGGTCATGTCCCTTCTGTGAGTACAGGGAGAGGGGGAAAGACTGTGTCATGTCGCTCTTACCTGGAGGAACCCCAGGTTATTCAAGGAGTGCTCACCGTGTGTGGGATTGGAGAGTTTGTAGCCCTTGCCTGAGGGTGCTCCCCAGTCTGGGTAGAAAGCTGCACTCCCTCCAGCTTGAGGTGTCAGGGGAAAGATATTGAGGCTGGTATAGCAGTTAGAAAGTTAGGGAAATGCTGGAAGGGAGGGACCTGAGAGCAGGAGCCCCAGGATCTGATAACGTACCAAAATCCCTGGTTGGTCATTAAACCTCATATACACAAGAAAGACCCTGAGGCTTCCAGCAAAAAAAAAAAAAAAAAAAAATCCAGCATCCAAAAGCTAAATTCAGCAGCGTGTCAGTTGCTGCTCACTGCTGGAAAGACAGAGTTTGAAGTTTGAGTCCAACTAGGTTAATGGTCTGTTAGAACACGTATTCAGTAGAAATAATGGAATCTTTATATCATTGGTCATGTCTGGTGTTCAAAACAAAGTCATCATACTTGCAATGAAACAGAAAAGAAGTCATATTCGGAAAAAAAAAGTCAATAGGAACCAACCTGGAGATGACTCTGATGTTACAATTAGCAGCTTTTATAAACATGGTCAGGGACTTAGAGGAAAATATGCACCAAATGAATGAACAGATGGGAAGCCTCAGAGGGGAAATAGGATAAAGAGGGCCAAGCAGAGATTCTAAAACTGAAAACCATGATAGCTGAAATGAACAAGTCCCTGGACCCACTTTAATAGAAGATGCAGGTGGCAGAAGAGTGAGTCACCAACTTAAAGGTCGTTCAGCGGAAGGAATATACCCGAAGGAACAGAGAAAAGAAAATGCCAGCAGAGCCTCAGACATGTGGGGCCATGCCAAGGGGTCCAACATACGTGTAACTGGAACCCCAGAAGGAGAAGAGAGAGACAATGGGCAGAGGAAAAAAATGGACCAACATAGTGGCCCCAGACTATCTAAATTCCCAAACTTCTGTGATAAAACTACAAAATATTGTTGAGAGAAACGAAAGAAGACCTCATAAATAGTGGTGTATATACTATGTTTGTGGATCGGAAGATGATATTGTTAAGGTGCCTGGTCCCCCAGCGGGCCTTTTTTTTTTTCTTTTTGAAAAGATTATTGTAAAGTTTCTACAGAAATACAAAGGACCTTAGAATAGCCTTAAACAATCTCATAAAAGAACAAAGCTAGGAACTTAAACCACCTGGTTTTAGGACTTTCTATTAAAAAACGAAAGTACTCAAAACAAATTGCTTTTGCCACAGGCATAGGTGAGTAGGTCGACGGAATAGAGTATAAAATTCCAAAATCGACCCACACTTCTGTGGGCAGTGGTTTTGGTCAGACGGCTCTAAGCGATCCAGCGGGAGGGACAAAGTTTTCAACCAATTGACCTGAAACTCCTGAATGTCCCTGAGGAGAAACGAACCTCGATCTCCACCCCACACCATGCACGGAAATCTGAGATTCATCAGAGGCCTGAGCGAAAACCCCAAAATTATATAGCTTTTTGAAGGAAAAACAGGAGACAAACCTTGGCACCTGGAAAACAAAGATTTCTTAGAAAAGATGCAGCAATTTCTTAGATGGGACACAGGATAGAGTCAGGACACCATAGGAGAAAAACGTGATAAGTTAGGCTTTTCTTAAATTGAAAATGAATGTTTTTCGAAAGACACCACTAAGAAAATAAGTAGCCAAAGCCAGAGACTGCGAAAAAATTCACAAAACATACTTGACAAAAAACTTGTATCCAGAATATATAAAGAGCTCCATTTCTTTTTCTAATAAGAAAAAGGCAACTCATTTTTAGAAATGGAGGAAAGTCTTGAACAGGCCTTTCACAAAGGACGATGCACAAATGTCCAGAAGTACACAGAAAATCCTAAACATTATTAGCCAGTCGGGGAAATACAAAATAAGAGTGTAGCCATGTGGGCTGAGGAAAGGGGCTGCTGTACTGGTGGTTGGCTCTCCCTGAACCAGGCGACCTTGAGGCTCCTCTCCAGGCCTACTTTCACTGCTTTTTATTCATTTCATCAGCTCTTAGGATGTTTAACTGTCATGGGCCCCCCACCTTCGTCCCCCAGCCCATCAGAGCAAAGCCGACGTCTGTCTCCAGACGGTGTGAATGGCCTCAGCTGCCTTTGAGGTGTCTAATTTAGCAGCCCGAAAGCGTCCCTGTCTCCCCTCGGTTCCACACTGTCAGGATTCTTGACAGTGGCTTTGTCACCAGCCTTGCTGTGCTGCACGACAGAAATGGGGGGTGGCTCGCACCTGCCAGAAAAAACCCTTGCCGATACTTGCCTGGACACCCAGTAACGTGGCGGGCGGGGTTTCTGGAGCTGTTTCTTTTGGGGACAGCATCTGGAGAGGAAGGGGAGGTGACTTGGGTCAGCCCGAGTGACCCACCCAGCGGGACGGGCCTCTGAGATGGTGGGTTCCTGCTGGTTCCGAGCGGAGTCTCTGTCACCATTGGGGCGCTGCCCTGCACTGCGGTGCGGGGCCCCAGGACCACCATCCAGACAGAAACAGCCACGGGGCTCTCTGCCTCCAGGGGTTTGTGAGGTTAGAAAGGATCACTGTTTTTCAAGTACCTAACAGGTGCGCTGGCCCAGAAGGGCTCATCAGTGGGCGGTGGTTACCGAGTTTGTGCGCTGGTCTAGTGCGGTGTGACCTGTCCCCTGCCTGTCCCCTGCCAGCTTCTGTTCTGTGGACAACATTGGGCGGCTTCCTCACACCTGGAGGGGCATAGAGTAAAGTACCCAATGCGGCAGCCTCCTCTCCTTCCCTGCTCGTCGGCTGCCTGTGGGGGTCTCATCAAGTCAGGAGCTGGCTCACCTACCCCCTGCCTGAGCCCACCCAGAGGGAAGCCCAGATGTGTCACCCCAGTCATGCTCAGTCTCACTGGGAGACACCCAGGGTTTTGGGGAGACCCCTTCTGTCTGGCTGCAGAGGCCTTTCCCGAGTACAAACTCTCCCTCCCTATCTCCGGTAGATCTGGAATGATCTCTCCCCGCCCCCACCCTCCCAGTCTGTCAGATGACAAGGCGGGTTTGGGATGGGGCTAGAAACCCATTCATAAGAGCTACTGGGTATCATTTCTGCTCTCTCTGTCCCCTGCTGCCCCGGGCCCTGAATTCTGGCCACCCAGTGCCGTGGGGTGGGGAGGTGCTCTGCGGCATCTCCGTGCCTTCTGGAAATTAACTTTGCCAGGTGCCGCTTTGAGCCTGGGCTCTGAGATGTGTCCGAACCCATGCATGGATGGCTCGGGCCTCCAGGGTGGGCTGGCCCCCGAGTACCACCTTGCCCTGAGGATGGGCCCCACAGCAGACTGCAGAGCTGGTCAGCCCTGGGCGCGGGGCACGGTTGCCCCGTTGCATGTGGTTGGATTGGGTCATTTGCTGATGTGAAATATTTGCTGAGCACCTGCTGTCTATCGGGAACAGTGCTCAGAAGGGGTTAAGAAGTTGGGTTTTGTCCAGGGAAGAGACAGGCTCATCCACAGACACTTAGAAAATAATGGGAGATACAGCAAGAGGGATGCACTTTGAGAGCACCGGGGGTGGAGGGGGTGGTCCTGGATCACAGACTGGGCTGGGGATCCCTGAGGGCCTCCTGGAGGAGGTGTCCTAGGATCCACATCTGGCAAGGCCGAGGGGACAGCCTGTTGGAGTAGAATCAGAGCATGGTCAGGAGCCGAGACAAGGTTGGTTGGAGTATAAAGTGAGTGGTGATTTCCTTACACTCGTTCTTGAAGCTGCATCACAAGCTCCATGTCCCTCTCCACTCACTCGGCTTCCTTACCACCTGGTAGGGAAGGCATCCATGTGTGAGCTCGGCTCCTTGGCCAGCACACCTCCACTGCAGGCGCTGGGGATGCCCGGGGCGGACCGAGAGCACTCAGGGCTCCAGGTCATGGGCCTGGCGGCGTGAGTGCCCAGGATCACTACAAGGGTGGAGAAGTGGGGCCGTGGTCACAGTAGGTCCTAGAAGTGGGGCAGGCAGAGCACGAGGGGATGCCTGGTGTAAACACAGGGAGGCCCCGGGAGGCAGGTACGCCAGCCCGTTTTGTGGACCAGAAGCTGGAGGCCGAGCGGGAGGGGCTCACGGTGGTCCCGAGCAGCCCTGCTGCTCTCTGCGAGGCCCTTGGTGCTGCGTCCCCGCGCAGACCTGGCTGGCCCTGGCTTCCATGCGCCTGACTGGCTTCCCTCCCACGCAGCGAGCATGACCTCGGGGAGGACATCTACGACTGCGTCCCGTGTGAAGATGAGGGGGACGACATCTATGAGGACATTATCAAGGTGGAGGTACGGCAGCCCATGGTAAGCCGCCCCTCACTCGCAGCGTGGCCCCCGCTCCAAGAGCTCAGAGCCCCCGGGGGGCAGGGGGCGCTCCGTGGCAGAGGGAGCTCCCGAGGCTGCACCCCAGCCCTTCCCGGCCCCTGCGGGCTTCCTGCCCATCCTCGGGCCCAGGCCTCCCTATGGGATGTTCCAAGGAGCCCGGGGGGTGACACTGCTGCCCCGGGATTCTCTGGAGGGTGTGCCAGATTCCAAGTCCTTCCTGCCTGGGGAGTCTGAAAATAGCGCCTGGGTGCTCAGGCACCCGGAGCGCGCATCATTTTACTCCTTTGTGCGGAGAACGAGGAGACCGCTGCCGGCTCAATTAGCCAGCTGTGCGTCTTTTATGTGGCGAGGATATTTATTTCCCAGTCGGTGTTGGCTAATAATCTCTCGGACACCGGTTCGCTGCCGGGCGGGCTGATGACCAGCAGCTGCCGTGCAGAGGGTGGGGGTCCTGTTGGACCGGCATGGGGAGGCTGGGGCCCTGGGGGGGGGCAGGCTACAGCCCCCTGGGTCCCCACACTCCTGGGGGGCGGCCCAAACGCCACTTGCCAACTGTGGAGGCTTTTTTATGCTGTTTGCTTTCCCTGAAGAAAGGGGGGGAGTTTCTCAAGAAGCAAATTCCAGTGTTTTCCTGCGGTGTGGGAGTAACCAGCTGGTGATGGAGAAACAAAGCTGGGGCGACGGCTCCCCAGCGAGGCCTTTCAGAGAGGCCTTTCCCGCCCTGGTGGCATCTGCCCTCCACTGGCATCTCGCCCCGAGGAGCACAGAGAAACATGGCAGTGGGCTCACAGCCCCCAAACTCTCTCTTCGGGATGGAGTGGGTTTCTCGTTTCACTCCTGAAGCGTCTGAGGCGTCTGAGGGGTCCCCACCATTACCAGGGGCCTCTCTCTGTGACCCCAGGTCTGCCCAGGGCCAATGCTGCCCTTCCCCCAGGCAGCCTTGCAGTGGGGCAACTCTGCCCCTGAGCCTGTCCGGGGGTCCAGTTATGGGGCTGGAAGGCCAAGCCGTTGCCCCACTGATGGAGACCCTCTGCTTTGCCCTCCTGGAGCTGGCCTGAAAGCCCAGCCAGCCCTCTGGCTTTGGGGCCACCTCACTCCCAAGTCCTTTGAAGTTGAGGGTCCTGCGGGGAAAGTGGGAGCAGCGGATGCAGTGGCCCCGGGCCCTTGTCTGGAGGTCCCCTTGCCTCCAGGCTGGAGATGCCCCTGAGAGGCCCCGTGGGTGCCTGGCCTGGTGAGACCCCAGAGTGGGCAGTCCCCAGAGCCTGCTGCTGTCCCTGGTCCTGAAGCGCACAGGGCAGGCCCTGGGCTGTTTGCAGGACTTGCGGGGGCTGGGGGTGAGACAGGCTGGCATCCCGCCTGCCCTGCTCTGCCCAGTGTCCTGACTATGCTCCGCGCTGCTCACGAGCTGTCCTGTCAGTCTCTCAGCGTGGGCCTCTGGCCCCCTGCCCGTCCTCCAAAATAAAACAGGTTTTACTTCCTCCCCGGTCATGTCCGAGGCTATCTGAACAGTCTAAGTGGAAGGTAGATGGAGACCTTTCCAAAGGGAGATAAAGCCAGAGGACGGCAGGTGCCACTCTCAGAGCCCACATGTGAGGAAGGGCTGGGCGCTGTCCCTCCCCACGCAGCCAGGCTGACACTTGGGCGGGCGGGCCGAGGACTGTGACAGGATCCTGGGGCTGTTGGGTGAATGTGGACAGGCGTCCCTACCTCCCAAGCACAGCCGGATAACGAGCTGACACTGCTAATTGGTTCTCTCTGTGATTTATTTCTCCACGCTTCAGATAAGATACATGCAGGTAAGTGGCAGGTGGAGGGAGGCCCAGGTAAAGACAGCCAGCACTGTCTTCCTCCACCTCGCAGCGCGGTCTCAGATCTCTTGGAAAAAGCCTGGGACTCTGTCCGCAGCGAGATGCTGTCAGGCCCCACAGTCTTACACATGGTTTTAGGGGGATCATGGGCCCCCAATGCCCCCCCCAAAGCCCCGAGAGCAGCAGTGTAGCGCCCAGGCCACAGGGGGCTTGGGAAGGAGCCCTGGGGGGCCTCCTGCCTGACCCTGGCCCCGTGGGTGATGTGCCCCCTCTGACGTGTTTCTTTGGAGCCCTCGGCCCTAGCAAACACCTGGGGCATTTCTTAGGGGAGGACGATGGTGTTAGGGCAGATAGGAGTCCACATGGCATGTCATGTGGCCCAGCCCTGTTTTCCCAGAGTCTTACTTAGGGACCCATGTGGCTCGCTCAGCCTAAAAGGACATGAGGAGAGGGTTTAGAAATCCAGAGAGCCTCTGAACAGTGACCCCACCTGCAGCTTCGTCCCCCATCCCTGTGGCCACAGTCTCCTGGTCAGTCCTACCTCTGGCCACGTTCCCCTCGGAGGTGGGGAGCAGGCCCTGCCGCAGTAGCGTGCCCCCGGTGGCCCCTGCCATTGAGCTGGTCCCTCAGGACCTTAAGTAGAGGCCAGGAGACCCTGGAAAAGCCCAGCCCTGCACTAACAGGTCGATGCTGGGTCGGCCCCTCTGTTGGCGGACACGGGTCCCCAGGGAGCTGGTCAGAGCCTTTCCCTGTGCACACAGTAGGCGCTTTAAGCATGCCCCACCTGCTGTCTATGCTGGAGGGGCTAGCTGCTGAGGGCCCCACACTGGTCTGGTAAAATTCAGAATAGGGCCACAGGAGCCCAGATTCTAGAAGCTTCCATGCTTTTCTCCAAGCTGTTGCCAGTCCTCAGGTTCATGCCACACACACCCCTCAGTGCCTCAGTTTCCTCATCTGCAGAAGTTGGGGGAAGGGTTTGGGCCCCCTTCTGTCTCCTATCCTGGCCCTCCATGTCACCCTGGTGACCCCGCGGCCAGGCCTGGCTCACGTCTTGTGTCCTTCCTTTAGAAAATGGGCATGTCCGAGGATGACAAGAGGAATTGCTGCTTATTGGAGATTCAGGAGACCGAGGCCAAGTACTACCGGACCCTGGAGGACATCGAGAAGGTGGGTGCAGGCCCCCGCCGTCTCCCAGTGCCGCCGGTCCCCTGGGGCGCAGCTGCCACCAGGCACCCCCTGCCCTCCACTGCCCACACAGGCTGCAGGCTCCAGCCTACCAGTGTCCTCGTGGGCTGTCACCCTCGTTTCTGCTCCCACCCCCAGCCCTCGGCCGTCAGCCTGTCCCGGGACCGTCCTGAGCTTGTCTCTGCGGCTCCTTCCCACCTAAGGTGGGCATCAGTTTGGCTTCCACTCCTGATTGCACTGGGCTAAAGCTCCTGATGTATACTCTCTCCTGTAGGCTGGGCGCTAGGTTAAGCGCTTTGTGTATACCTTCTCCCCTAAGGCATTCTCTGCCCTCAGCTTCCCACTCTGTAAATTGGGGTGATAGCAATA